ATATCTGAGAATATCACATGAGAGAGTTGGTGCCATTATCCACAATGACTTGGAAATGAGAAAGCTGGCAGCAAAGTGGATCCCCAAACTTTTGACAACCTAACAAAAGAGGAAACATGTGGAGTCATCAGTGGCTGTTTTGGAACATTTTGCAAGAAATGAGCCAGATTTCCTGGGCAAACTGATAACTGGTGATGAGACATGGATCTACTGTTATGATCCTGAGACAAAGGAACAGTCTAAGGAATGGAGGCACAGAGGTTCCCCCAGGCCAAAGAAGTTCTGAGTGCAAAGGTCGGTGCAGAAGCAAATGGCAACAGTTTTTTTGGGATAAGAAGGGAGTTCTGCTTGTGGACTGCCTCCAACAGGGTTCAACCATCAATGCAAAATATTACTGTGCTTTATTGATGATGCTGAGGCAAAACATCAAGGAAAAATGTCGAGGAAAGCTCTCCAAAGGTGTCATCATGTTGCATGACAACGCCTCGTCACACACTGCAGGTGAACCAATGGCAAAACTGACATCCTTAGGCTTTCAAATGATGCCCCATCCACTCTATTCTCCCAACGTGGCTCCTTCTATTATCTGTTCCCCAAACTCAAAAAACACCTAAAGGGACAATGATTTGGGAGTGTTCTGGAGGCAACTAATGCTGCAAATGAGTGGTTACACCAGCAGTTGGAAGAATTTTATTTGCAGGACTTAAGAAGCTGCAGGACAGATGTTGCAAGTGCATTGACTTCCTGGGGGAATATGTAGAATAGTGTGATAGTTACAGCTTCCTAGCTCAATTTTTTCTGGAAAGGCTCAATACTTATCAGCACCCCCTTGTACTGGTTCTAAAATTGCCAATTTTTTTGTAGCTCTGATGGTATGATTTCTGAGATCTGCAACTGCTTATAGTACTTTGTGAAATTTCTGGATATTGTTCCCAAAGCCCCAATGACTATGGGGACCACTGAAGTGTGTTGATAATTACTGGGTTCATTGCCTTTTTGATGATATTTTATTATCGGAAATGTGGCCTGTTGTCATCCAGTCTTCAGTTGTAGAATTTTAAAGTAAGTGGTTAAATTGTACTGCTATACGTTGATGGAGACTTGTTAGATGCTTTAACCAAAATCTGTGCACCCCATCTGGACCAGGTAAACTCCAATTTTTCACATCCTTTACTCGCTTCTTAATCATTTCAGTTGTTATTACGATATCATCCATTTGTTTTCCTTGAGTTTCTTTACAAATGTCTTTAATCCATGAGGCATTTTTGTAATGTCCAGTTGGGCTTTCCCACATTTCTTTACAAAATTTTAGAGCATCATCTTTACATGGGCCTAATTTCTTTTGCTCTGCATTTTCTCCTAGTGACATATAGAATAATTGTTGGCTATTTCAAAATTACATGTTTTCTCTAGATTGTTTGAAATGTCCATCATATCTTTTGATTTTCTTTGCTGTAGCTGTTACCTGCTGTTTTAATTCTTCCATAGTTTCAATTATTGTTTTCCTTTCTAGGTCATATATCTTGCATAGTCTGGCATTTACCTTTACATTTTTAAATTTTGAATCTTTCAAGTGTTTTAGGTTGCTAATGTCTGCAAGTAATTTGTTTATTTCAGATGAGGGCCTCGATACTTGGTGGAACGCTTACTCCCATCCAGTTCTACTCATGTCACTCGTGCGAGTCAGGAGGTGAAGTTGAGGAGCCTGACGCCGAGGGAGGCCTGGAAGAAAAAAACAAGAAACCGGGCCTTCTCAGCGGTGGCTCCTCGCCTCTGGAACAACTTACCTCCTGAGATTCGCGCAGCGCCCTCACTGGGTATTTTCAAGAAACAACTGAAAACATGGATGTTTAGGCAGGCCTTCCCACCTTCCAGTTAATTCCTAATTATTCTTTCTTTCCTATTCTGTTATAATATACCCTGTTTCTTGCCATCTTTGGGAAAAAATGATTTCTTTTTATTTATGCAAATTATGTTATGTGCTATGCTATAGGTCTAATTGTTTTTATAGTGTGTGTTGTAAGCCGCCTAGAGTGGTCACAATTGACCAGATAGGTGGGGTATGTATGTATGTATGTATGTATGTATGTATGTATGTATGTATGTATGTATGTATGTATGTATGTATGTATGTATGTATGTATGTATGAATAAATGAATGAATGAATGAATGAATAAATAAATAAATAAATAAATAAATAAATAAATAAATAAATAAATAAATATTTTTCTTTCCAGCCAAATTTTCCATTTTGGTGTGCCAGGAGTTTTCTGGGGGTTATTTTGCAGCTCGTAACCAAGCTCCATGGTTATTATGGTAGCTGTGCTATACATGAGCTGGTTTGTTTCCTTTAGTGTGTTGTTTGGGATTGTTCTGATGACAATATTTGCATCACTTAGTAGATCTTTTATGGGTTTAGTTTGTGTCAGGATCTGGCCCACACTGCCCTGGCAGCTGCCGGATCAGGGCCAGCCTGACCCAGAAGTGAGAAGTGGCCTGGTGTTTGCAGACTCGGGCCCTGGCCTGTGTAGCAGCGGCTGGGCCACTTATATGAGGCTTACCTGGATGCCTGGAGGGAAGGCCTATTTAAGGACTGGTTCTGCCTCTCAGAACTTGCCTCAGCAACAAAGGTCTTACTGTTTTTAGTGCCTTGCTAGAGTGTTCCTGCATCTGTTCCTGCCTTGGCCCCTGCTCTTGCATCCTGCATCTCTGTGTCTGGACATCAGTGTTCTTGTTCTTGCCTGTGTCTTGCTCCCTGCTTACTTCTGCTGGCCTCCTGCATCTCAGCACCTTGTTCTAGGTCTGTGCTCCCAGCCTAGTGCTCCTGCCTCCAGTTTGTCACAACCAACTGCACAGTGTGTGTCTTTGAACTTGGTATCCTGCATGGTGGACTGGGTCCTGGTGCCTTGACTTGGTATCCTGCATGGTGGACTGGTGCCTGGTGCCTTTGCCCCTGGTGGACTGTGACATTTTGTAATTGGCTCAACTTGGAGAGCCCTTGTCTTTATGTGTTCCAACTAATACGGTTTACAAATTTTTCCCCTCAGTGATGTTTGCTGTTCTGTCAACTCATAACTTCTGGGTTGTTCCATAAGTTGTTCCTCTGTTGACACGTATGTTTTCTTCCACTGCTGCATCTACCTCTACCCCACATTTGTTTTCTATACAAATGTTCTGTTTCTATTTCATTGTTCTGTGTTGATTTTTCTTTTGATACCTTTTCCAGTTCTTGCAATTCTAGTTCTGAAAATACTTTACTCCAGATGATAAACCTTCTCTGGTCCATTAATCATTGTTCAGTTATGTCACCAGTTGGGTGTTTCCTTTTCTAAATTTCCATCAATCTTTTTTGAAACCATGGGCTGTTGGGTTTACCTCGTAATAACATTTCATAATTTATCAAATTTTGGTGAGAGTCCATGTTTTGCATTTACGTTGTTCCAGTAGCTTTGTGGCAGTCTGTCCTGGTCCCTCAACAGGGTCTACTGAGCCCTGTAGCCCATTTGTCACCAGATGTCCAGGGGTTATAGCATCTGACGCGATCCTTGTTGACCTGGGGTGACAACCGATCCAGTATGGATTTCTGTTTGTTTCCTCTCATCATAATTGATGGTTGGTGGATACAGTTGGCCTGAGACCTGTCTGGCTTGGGAGATCCTTCAGCATAGCTCTCAACCTCACTGAAGCATGCAAGCCTCTCCAACTCAGCAAGGCCAGTGCCCATGGAAGGGTTACTACTACTACTACTTCTTCTTATTGCTATTGCTATTGCTATTACTATTACTATTACTATTATTATATTTTGATAATGCCCATTGTTAAAGAGTCCCATAGAAATGGCAGGCAATTAATCTCAAGGCTGATTCCCCTCCCCACACATCTCCCTTTCTTTCTTCTATTTTGCCAATGAGCATGTTTGAGCCAGGTGTTAATTACAAGCCCCAATAAAGCCACAGAATTGTTCTTGTTCTCTTGAGGGAAATGACTGGCTTCAGCCCTTGGCTGTTATGTTCATTTAACTTATTCACTGCACTTGCGTTTCTCCATCTGCTTTTCTCTGTTCTGGAACAAAGAAAAGAAAGAAAGAAGTTGCCAGATCAGGAACAGTTGCCAAGGATACTTCCACTACAGTGAAGAGTGTATGTGAGAGCCACATATGTGAAGTGCCTTGGTGTCACCACGGTCTGACCTGTTATCCTGAGGCACAACCATCTTGCAAAATCATCCTGGACTACTTTCTCTTATATTGTGTTTGGCACGAAACTAACACACAAAAGGAGGTACTGGAGTTTTTTTTTATCCTCACATGCTGCCTCTTATCTAGTATGTGAGGCTGGAAGGGACCTTTTTGGGTTGACAATCAATCCAGTAGTAACCAATTATTCCTTCCTTGCCTCTCACTTCAAGGAGAGCCTTGTGTCTCTGCTCTGAGCTTTCCCCTCTTTTTTAGTCTGCTGGCAGTTAGTATAGTCTGGTTAGTCTCTTGGAGCCTTATGGTGCAGTGGTTAAACTGCAGTATTGCAGCCAAGACTCTGCTCATAACCCAAGTTCAATCCCAGGCTGAGGTAACCAGCTCTAGGTTGACTCAGCCTTCCATCCCTCTGAGGTCTGTAAATTGAGTACACAGCTCACTGGCAGTTTGTGTGTGTGCAGTATGTTCCCTGCATAATTAAACTCTAATTGGCCAGCGACTGCTTTAAGTGCTATGGGGCAGTATATGAGCAAAATACTTTGCTTTCTCCGACTATTGTCTCAGAGTGAGTTATTGAGATTGTAAGTGAGAGAAAAATGAGGTGGTTTACTCTGGGGAACCTGAAACTAATTCTGATTTGTGAATCCTGACACTTCTGTGAGAGAAAAATAAGGTGGTTTACTCTGGGGAACCTGAAGCTAATTCTGATTTGTGAATCCTGACACTTCTACTGTGCAGCTAGAGGAATTTAACCAGAAATTCAAAACTCTGCAACAATAAGCACAGCTGTGATCACACCGACCCCCCACCCTTGCAAACTTTAAAAATGAATTCATACATCCTTATACTTCGCTCTACTTTCAGGAAATTCCATAGATCTTACAAAATGTTGCCAGTTGTCCCTTACCCACTGGAAGTCTTGTTGGGTTGCTTCCTGTCTCGGCCAAGAACCGGCCAGGTCGACATTAAAAGCGCCTAAACAGTGTAAGTACAATCATGAAGGTCCCTCCACTGTCTTGCTCTCGGGATTAACCTGTCCAGAGTAGAGATGGGGACAAATTTTTTAAAAAATGGCAATTTGTTTTGATCCATTATTCATCAAGGTTAATGAATCAATGAATACAAATATATGAATATTCTTCAACAAATTGACAAATTAATGTCGATTCATCTGCAATTTAAATGGCTGTAACACTGGCCTCCTGATGACCTAGAGACTCCAAATTTGCAGGGAAGCTTCCTCAGACACTTTCCAACGACTCCTGAAAGTGTGATGAACATTGGATCACGGATACCTGAGTTATATAGTCACAAAGAGGACCCCCAGGAAAGCTCCCCCCAGGTACTTAGAGACTCCAGAATCACAACAGAGCTTCCTATGTCTTTCCCCAACATGCCTGCCAACTTTGGTGAAGATTGGATATCGGACATCCGAGTTATTTACCTACAAATTGGGTCCTCCCAGGAGAGTTTACCACACGGCACAGAAGCCCACGACACTGAGGGCGTTATATTTAGCCCCAGCAGAATGAGAGGTCCCTTTGGCAGAGGCATGCATGAGGCACTGAGTTTGTCTTCAGCTCAGCACAACATTACATTTCCCAGTGAAGTAGAGTTTGTCCTCAGGAGGACTGGAGGCAAGGAGATATTTAGCAGCACAGCAGGCTTTTTGGCTCCGTCGGGCTCTGAGGAAGTTGGCAGCAGGAAAACAGGCTCTTTTGGTCCCATTGGGCACCGAGGAAAAAGGCAGTAGGAAAGCAGGCTTTTTTGGCCCCATCAGGCACTAAGATAGTCAGCAGCAGCAAAGTGACGTGTGTTGCCCCATCAGGCACTGAGGACGTTGGCAGCAGGAAAACAGGCCGTCGGAAACAGAACAACTCTGCAATCTGAAGTGGGGCAATCGGGAGACAAAGTTGCTCATTTACAACTGGAAAGCTAGGGATTGCTTGCAACGTGGCTGCTGAGACCACCCGGATATGATAAAGATAGCCCTTGGAGGTTTTTTTTTTGGGGGGGGCTTAGACAGGCCGACCCCCTTAGCACAGGTTGAAAACCAGACAAGCTCTGCCGTCTGAAGCCGGGTGATGGGGTGACACCTGGACAGGCTTGGATGGGGCAGAGCCAGGCTTTGGGTGTGCCAACATGGCTGGACAGCCCTCTGTCTTGGCACATTATGGGCATCCCCCAACACTTTATTCTTTTTTCTTACTGCTCAGTCTGGGTCTTCGTAGAGAGCTGGACAGCCCTCTTTGCTCATTTGGGGGTGCTGGAACCGGCTCTGGGTGTGCCAGCCAATTAATTTCAACATGAAGCAGTCAAGGGTTGGGCAAATACCTGAATGTTCTAAAAGAGAGCCTGGCAAATCTTTATGGGGAGTACTATGAGAAGAAGAAAAAAAACCCAATAAAGATGGATGGCTGCATGAGAAAGAGGACAGGGCTCCTGTACCTTGAACAATTGTGTGGTGGAGGGCATTTCTGCAGATGTAGCAGCTTGCTTGAGAAGCTACACCTGCTGAAATTCCCTGAACTGTTCAAGGTACAGGAGCCCTGGCCTCTTTCTCATGTGCCCAACTGAATGATGAGCCCATCCCACAATTGTGATCCCATCATTGTGAAGGCTTTATCTCTATATGACATCACCTAGGCACAGGGCTGAAAGCAGAACTACCAAAGGCGGCACTTAATTGATGGGCAGAATGTAACTGACTCACTCAGTTTTGCCCACTCTCTGTGTCAAGTGTTCTTCTGTGGGAGCGGTGTGGAAATTTTGAATATGATGGCTTCAATATATGTGAACAATGGCTCTCATGCATTTATGGCTGGAGCGAATTTCTTCAAGGGACAATCTAGAACTTCCAAGACCAGATGTCAGGGAAGACCAAATTGCTCCTTGAGAAGGGGTGGTGGACTCCTCTCCTGAAGAAACAGGGAGTGGAAATTAGAGGATGAGACAGGTTCTCCTCCTCAGTAAAGAGAAAGCCACACAATGACAACTCAAGTGAAGTGAAATGGTCTTGACAAACTATCAGCCTGCAAAGGAGGATTTCTCAGGAACATGAAGGCATGTTGATGACTAGGCCCTTCTCTTGGAGGGGAAATTATGCTAAATGCTCCAGGCAGCTTATCTACAAAAGCAGGTTCCAAGAGCTGATAGAAACAATACCCATATTTGGCTCTATGCCTTGTCAGCTGTTCCTAGACTTCTTGGCTCTTGCTTTGACAGACCTCTTGGTAAATGAACTTGGATTATGGTTTATCTTACTTACGTGCTCTCTGGCTGGATTTGAATCCTGTTCTGCTTTTTTATTTTGGCTCTGGGTTGCCCTCACCTTTTGTCTTGTAGGACTTAGCTAACCTTGACCTTGCTTCTATAATTGCCCTTACCTAAATAATCGTTTTGCTGGATGGCTGTCGCTGTTGTAAGATTTTGGATGTTGAATCCTTGCTAATGGACCCTGCCTGACCCAAAGCAAGACATTTACATTAGCATTGCTCAGTTGTATATGTTTTGGAAGGTGTGACACTGCAGGCAAAGGTAGATTGCTACAAGAGTTTTAATCTAAAATATCCAGATGAACAGCAAATCTCAGTGTTCATTTTCAATGTGAGTGCGTCCAGTCCACAGGAAGAATTGCAAAAACACTCATATGAATACCATTGTTATATGGAATGGTCGTTATAAATATATTATCATTTTATATTGGAGCCAAGGAAGTTGTTTTTTTAATTGAATCAGCACTGTTAGTCATTATGGTTTTTAAAAGTACTGTAGCTTATTATTGTTTACAATTGCTAAAGAAACAATTTTCTCATTATATAACATGTACTTCATCATTTTCATTTTTTAAAGTCAGTTTAAACAGTAAGAAAATGGTGTAGAGTCTGAAAAAAACCTCACCCAAAATGCCCAAAATTCAGTTCTTCCTCTTAAAGAATCAGTTATACTGGGGGAAAGGAATGCAATTATTTGTCACTCTATTGATTTTTAACAGGTTTTTTGTCATTGTTCTGAACAGTAATTTATCAAGTAATATGGTTACTTGCAATGAGTTAGTTTCAAGTTCCATTTAAAATTGCAAATAGGAAGAGCATTGAGAAAAGAGGACTGAGGGGAGATATATGAGCACTTTTCAAATACTTGAAAGGTATTTTTTCCCCAAATACTTGAAAGGCAGGATCTGTTCTTGATCATCCCAAAGTGCAGGACACAAAATAATGGGTTCATTATTTAAGTCAGATTTAAGCTGAATATCAGGAAAAACTTCTCACTCAGTTAAGAGTGGTATGACAATGGAACCAATTACCTCAGGAGGTGATGAGCACTCCAACACTGGAGGCATTCAATATAACTTTGGGCAATCCATCTGTCAGAACTGCTTTGATTTGGATTCCTGCATTGAGGAGTGGGTTGGACTCGATAGCCTTATAGGCCCCTGCCAAGTCAATTATTCTATGATTCTATAAGAGCAAAAGCATGATTGGCATTAAACAAAACACACCGCTCTGCTTTAAGATTTTCAGAAAAATGTACATCACTGTAATATAGTGAAAGATATGTTTAATAGATAACGTTTAAAAGATTTGCCACTGATTTCATTGCATGTTGTAAAATGATCTGTGTAAAAGTGTTCTGTGCAATATCTTAGCTGTTCAGGAATTCCATGTGGCTAGCATCATCCTTCCACTATATGATAGCTAAATACGTACAGTACACTGTAGTTATTCATGTCATCCCAGCTCTTTTTAAATGTGGTGCCAGTTAGGTGAAGTCCTTACAGAGTAAATACTTTTAAAATCTATGACTCCTTCTCCGCCTCTGCTAAATGCTCATATCATCAGTATGAGCATTAACACTTATTACTTAACAAATAAGATAAAAGGGGGGAAGGAAGGTTGGGCAACATGAATAAAAAAACAATATTGATTGTCAACTTATCTGCAGTTACCCATCTGAACATGCCAAAAGAATGGGAGAAATAAAACCTGAGATTGAGACTAGTTTGGCTTCTGGGACTTGCTTGTACAAAACCAAAATTGCAGAAAGTCTTTGTGCACCAAGATTCCTTCATGCTCTGCATCCAGTAGAAAGAAGGTCACACATCTTTGTAAATGATAGTTCTTGCTTTAGGTTGTGATTGAAGCAAGGAAATCCTGCAGCATGTTTGAGAAACAGCTTCAGAAAATTTTTAGCTGGATGGAAAAAGTGTTGAATCCCAGCTGATTTTTTTTTACCCACCACCTATGGAATCTGGCACAGAAGATGAGTGGAACTTTTGAATAAAGCAGCTGATGTTTTTCAGGATGTGGTTGGAATCTTGCATCATTTTCATAATTCCAGAGCCTGCTCTGGGTGACACACGTATTTGGCACACTCTCGCAGTCGGTATAGCATGGATGGGAGAGCTATGTCAGAGTTCACCATCCTGTTCAGAAAAGGCAGACCTCTTCCACCCTAGCCTCTTAGGCCACCTCTAGCTGTTTTGTTTCTTAGTGATTTACAGAATAATCTCATTTGTAAAGAATTATTTAATATGGCTTTTTTAGACCCTTTTCTGAGCAGAACTCGATAAAGTTAGTTTTTTGGACTACAGCTCCCCAGCCATAATCTCTAGCAAAATTTAATTCTTCTGAACTATATTCTTGAGTGTAAGTCCTAAATTCAGAGGATTTTAGTTCTGAAGAGCCATGAGTACAGGATGATTATGCTATCAACCCCATTTTCACAGAAGAAACCAGCATCCTTTGCTTGTGAAATTCAACTTACCTTCTTCTTGGAGCTATGGAATGTATTACTGAGCACAAATGTGCAGATATCACAGAGTGAAACATTCCTTTAGGATTAAAATACAGCAGTCCTAGAGGATCACCAATGGTGATTTCAAAGTTCATTTCTGAACAATGATAATGGCACTCAATAGGGATATGCGAACGAGTAGAGTGTGGACTTTGATTTCATGTGTTGCATTTTGAACACCAGCAATGAAGAACAGAAATGAAAGTGTGGAAAATTTATGACATAAGGGAGTGAGGATAACCTCTAAATATTAACAAGGAAGGGGGCTGGGGAGAGGGGAGCTTTTTTGGCCACTTTGATAGGGACATCATATTCATTGTAACATCCAGTTTAAAACTAAACTGGGTGTTACAATGAATATGATGTCCCTATGAAATGACCAAAAAAGATCGTTTTTTTTAACAGTGTCTTGTCTGGCTTACTTTACCTTAATGGAATGTAACATTGCATCCAGATTTCTGGAATGCATGACTTATGTTTCAGAATACAGGCAGCTACAAATGTGGAGTAAGCATAGAGTTTAAAAAACATAGCATGCTCTAATGAGCAAATGATCTACATAAACCTATCTTAGCACACTAAGGGGAGAGGAATGTGCAGTGTTTATTTAATTGGCTGTCAAGTCACAAAGAAGCCTTGCTATATTTACGCATAGTTGTTCCAAAGTAGAATGTGGGATCATACGTATACTCATGCGCAACTGGGACTTGCTGGCTTATTTAAATTTGTTATAAACAGTTGCTTTAACCTAATGGTGCCCCTAGTTTTGATGTTTATATGCTGAGTAGTTTAAAATATACCACATTGATTTAAGACCTCACATTTTAGTTTGAGAACATCTTGGTATGGTCTCCCATGTACTCAGGTTGCTCCACTGACAATGATCCCATCAGCCAGAGTAACTAAAGAGCGTGGGGGGAGGGAGAAGTAGGAATGTGGGTTTGATGAGTGGATAGCGGGAAAAAGATAGTGGGTCTGGCCAGACCAACAAGGAAGTTCTTAGTTGTAATGGAGATGTGTACATCAGCATGATATTTGCAGCAAGTATAGCTACTCCTGTAACTCATGACTAACTGTTTACCATAATAATTAAATATGTTATTATGACATGAATTGAGCCACTGCAATTTCTGTTAATAATAGTAGGGCTTTTGGCACTGATTACATTGGTTGTTTTAGAATTCTTTGTTTGCCATCAAAGTCAATGAGTTTTCTTTCTAGAGGCATACATCAAAGATCACACATCCAGCAAATATAAGTTGAGGGAGAAAGTAGGTATCAAATGAATATGTTGTCCCACTTATGTTTGCTTCTAGCACTGATGCTTGGTGTAAACAGGTGGAATTCTTTTCCTTTGTCTCTAGCCTGTGTTCCCTTTCTTTCTGCTATCCAGATGTGTTAGACTACCATGCTGGCTTTTGTTTCTGATCATGGGGTTTTCTTGGCAAAGATACTGGAGTGGAATTGCTGGTTCCTACTCCAGGTGGATTGCGTTTAGTCGGAACTCTCCACTATGACCTGTCCGTCTTGGGTGGCCCTGCATGGCATAGCCCATAGCTTCTCTGAGTTGCTCAAGCCCCTTCGCCACGACAAGGCAGCAATCCATGAAGGTGCTGGAGGAGGCTCTTGAGAGTCCCCTGGACTGCAAGGAGAACAAACCTATCAATTCTAAAGGAAATCAACCGTGAGTGCTCACTGGAAGGACAGATCCTGAAACTGAGGCTCCAGTACTTTGGCCATCTCATGAGAAGAGCAGACTCCCT